GATGAAGTTATAAACATCAATCAATACCCAATTCAATATTCACTTTTAGATTATAAAGCATCAACAATTTGAATCATTGAACAAAAGAGAAAATGAAAAGTGAGAATAAATTAACCTGCAACAATCAGTAACCGAAATCGATAACCCCGCATAAGATTAAGTCACATTAGCCTTTTCAATTTATACATATAAAGCCTGTAAATTCAAATTATTTCCTAAGAAATGTACATATTTCCTGTAAAAGTTACTTTATGTAGAAAATTTAATTTTTCAACACCAAGGAATACATACATACATGTGGTCTCACAAAAATTTCTAAATTGATTTATCACAGTAATCCGCTTACAAATTTATGTAAATATTCAATGATAACCTACACACACACACACACACACACCATTGTTCCATGTGGAGAATTCAGAATGAAAAAAAAATATATATTAATGTTTAGAAGCACTGAAAACTCGTATGAATATACTAAAAATGTATATCCTGTAAGTAATCAATACTACTACTACTACTACTACTACTACTGATATACACGCAATCTAGTGAATGGCGTTCATTATTAAAAAAAAATGAGCACAAATATGGTTGTATTTCGTATTCGTGATAACTTATTTTGTTTGTCTGAAAAAAAGCACATTATTTCACAATAGACATGAAAACTAGTATTTTTTTGGGGGTGATGAAAATCCGTACTGATCAAATTTGTCCTTCCTATGTTAAATAAGACGTTGAAATCAATTAAAACATATAAACATGAACTTAAGCAAATATTCTGAATGTGATAATCAATATATATGTTAGGCAGTTAGTTGTGTGAAGATCAAAGTATGCAAGGAGTTCGAACCTGTGACTCAGTCAATCAGTCAGTCAGTTACAACGTTCAACTTCGTACACACATACATCACAGTTCAGGTTGTCATACTAAGTGAACACTCAGAGACAATTGTCAGTTCAAATCCCATCGTGGTAGAGATAGTAGAAGTATCACCGGTAATGAAGAAGAGATTAGGATTCGAACAAATTATTCCGGACCTTGAATGACATGGCTCAAAATCGTTTGCAATGGCCCCTGGTGCATTTATTCTTTGTGTTCTCTCTTTAATCCTAATCTTCTAGATTCTCCAACACCTCTAGTTTTGACTTTCTAAACTTTTCTCATTGAATCATACTTCTTGAATAATATCTTCTAACCCTAACCTCTATGATTACTTTTAATACCTTTACTACCTCTTCTACTACTATTGGATTTGAATTGACAATTACATCTGTGTGCTGATGTGGTGGTATGGCAACATGAACTGATGTACTTACGTACAAAGTTCTACATTGCATCTGACTGACTGAAATTATTCCAGAAGTATAATTCAATGAAATAAATTTGAAACGAGAAATATAAAGGTGATGCGGAATTCAGAGGATTATGATTTGAGCGAACACAGAGAATGAATACACCTGCACTATTGCAAACGATTTTGAGCCATGTCATTCAAGGTCTCTAATCATCGTTTACTATCATCTTACGACTAAGTGACTAGTAATTGAAATTTTTAACTAATGAGCCACTAGCCTCTATATTTTTTTTTGTTGATATCATAGTAGATTAACCTTAAAAATTTCATCTCTAGAATAAATTAATTGTTTCAACTTATTCGTTACTTGAAGTTTAAAAACAATCTGACGTTGAACAGTTGAAAAAAAAAAGAACGACGGGAAATTCGATACAAATACACAACAGACTAAGCTTTTGCTCAACTTTTATTAACTAGTAAATAAAAATTCTGATAGTAATAAAAAGGCTTTAATTAGTCGTCAATGGGCTCAAACTATGATTACAGAATAAAGCATTAAATTGAAGGTATATTGATTGGAAGGTTAAACCACTCAAACTAAATTCATCCAATGTCACTAGTTTTCATAAATATAGAGAGACCGATGAAAAAAATTAATATTGTGAGGAATTAAATCAATAGATCAATCATCCGGATCGGAAAATTAGGCAGCCTACAGGCAACACGCGGGACTAGTTCAAGCTGCAACATTGTATCACCACGACAGTGTCACTGGTAGTGGAAAACATTTAGTATACATAATTTGATTTAAAATGAATGGGTCGATAGAAATTAACAGTTGTCTACGCAAAATACTTCGTATTCGTTGGCCAGACACCATCAGCAACAACGAACTGTGGGAGAAAACAAACCAGATTCCAGTGGAGGAGGAAATCAGGAAGAAGCGGTGGAAGTGGATAGGACACATTACGAAAAGCACCTAACTGCGTCACGAGACAAGCCCTTACATGGAACCCTCAAGGCAAAACGAAAAGAGGATGGCCAAGGAACACATTACGCCGAGAAATAGAGAAAGATATGAGAAGAATGAACAAACATTGGACAGAACTGGAGAGGGAAGCCCAGGACAGAGTTGGTTGGAGAAAACTGGTGGGCGGCCTATGCTCCATTGGGGGTAACAGGCGTAAGTAAGTAAATAAGTAAGGGAAGGGCAACAGTGTCAAATTGTCACTTGAGGACATATATTTTAGCCGGTCATCATCAACACGGTTAATGTTTGTGTGACGTCATGCTTACAAATAGACTAGAAACAAATTTCCAGATGGCTAAACATTCCACTGCTTGATTATTTTCTAAAAACAAAAGAAATTAATTGAACCGAAAACGGGCAAGTAATACTAGTAGTACTAGTAGTACAGTTGCGCACCAACAACAACAACAATAGTATAAAAAAGTATTAAAAACACAATGACAGATTTGAAAAATTGATGTAATACGATGACAAACAACAACATTAGAACAACAGTTCGTAAGTAAACAAAAGATGGGAAAATGAAAATTTACAGACTTGAAGATTTAGGAGAAAAAAAACTGCATACAGTTTGTTTGAATAAGTGAGTATTTATTCAAACAAACTGTATTCAATATTGAAAAGGGGGGATGTGTTATGAATGCCTAACCACCGACTGCCTTGATGAGTAATGTTTTGTGGTGTAGGAGTAGTAGGTTGGAAGAAAGTTAGTGGCGGCCATACCAAAATATGGCAGAAATCCATGAAGTCACTGACTAGTTGACTGAGTCATGTTGGTAGATGTAGGAGGCTACCTGGTTGGGGTACGCGAGACGATAGTCACCAATGGTTAGAGACCTTGAACGACATGGCTCAAAATCGTTTGCAATGGAGCCGGTGCATCCATTCGTTGTGCTCTCTCAAATGCTAAAATTCTGTATTCTTCAACACCTCTAGTTTTGTCTTTTTAAACTTATCTCACTGAATTATACTTCTTGAATAATATCTTCAAACCCTAGTCTTCTTCATTACCATTAATACCTCCACTATCTTTATCACTAGGGGATTTGATTTAATATTTGCGTCCCTGTGATAATGTGGTATGGCGACCTAAATGTACGATGTTCTACGTTACAACTGGCTGACTGACTGAATAAGCGAGTATCAAACTGTAAGCACGATGTTAATTAACAGTCTTTTTTACGCCTTAAAAAACAGTTACTGATAATCAGTATATTAGTAAAAATAGACCGGCGTAAATCTACCTCAACACAATATTTTGCATGTTTTTGAAGCGTCAAACTAAATAATGCTTTGGGATAAATCTGACTGATCTGATAAGACAGCTGAACTCATGATACGCAATAAAATAATCGCGTGTATTGACCATTGCACTTGTTAAGTCTCATCAATCCTGGTGTGTTTAATATCTAACAAAATACCGGTCGGTTTTTATTATTACACGTCACTTACAGTGGGTGGGATCTACGTCTACCTTTTAAAAACAAGTTTACTACACAACATCTCACTTATCAGTACTGAAGCAAAATTTAGAAAAGCAGAAGGCGGGTACAGTTTTGATCATGAGTGTCGTCGAAACACTGCTCAAGTGTTGTTCATACCACCAAGAGATAAATCCTGATCATAAATATAGGTCACTAGTTAAATTTGTAAAATCAGTTGGTGAGAGTGCGTATGTTCAACAACAACAACAACGGTGATTTTGTGAATGTGTCACGCATGGTCAGACAAACCAAAAACCTTGACACAATATCTTCGATGGGCGGTCAAACCAAGAGTATGACTGACTATTATTAGTAGATACAAACTGCTTAATTTGTGTCATCATGATAATTGCGACCGATGATTAAAGACTTTAGGCAACACATATCTCGCAACTTTCACAATGGACCAGTTCAATTCAACCCTTACCTTACTCTAAGTTCTGAACGTTATAGATCAATACAATTCTATCAGGCTCTATGTTGATGAAGAATGTCAATTCACACATAGTTTATTATTTGACACAAACGATAATTTTTGTCATCGTTGTTAGTATTTTGATATTGTAAACATCTAAAAATGAACTAAGCTTCCTTTCTCACCAATTAGATTTTTAAAGACAAGTGTGTATATAATTCAGTGAAAAATAAAATTATTCATTGTTTCTATTGTATCTAGGCCTCATGAGTTACAATGATTAGAACACCAAAAAAATTCATTCAAATTGAATGTCCATCAATAATATTAATAATAAGTCAGTTTGTCAGTCAGTCAGTCAACAACACACATGGAAGTTTGTACGTACGAACATCATAGTTTAAGTTACCATACCATATTAGTACATAGAGACGCAATTATTAATTCAAATCCCATAGTAATAAAGAGATTTCTAGAGTTCGAAGATATTATTCAAGAAGTAGAATCTAGTGTGAATAAAAATATAGACATGATAAGGAGCTCCAAGGGTTAGGAGAACACAAAGAATGAATGCACATGCACCATCGATTACTATCGTCTCACAGGCCCCAACCAGATAGTTGACACCTACCTACCAATATAGCTCAGTTCACATGTCAATGTCTGCATAGATTTCTGCTATGTTTTGGTTTGTTGGCCGCCTCTAGCTAATAGCAATAAGTCTACTCATACAATGACATCATATAAAGACAGAAAAATAAACATTAACTTACCATGTAAACGTAATGTACTATCATGACATGAATCATTTGGTGTCAGTTGACGTGAAATCGATTTATTTGTTGATGCTGGAGCAGAATGTCTATCCAATGGATATACATAAGTTGGCGGTGATGATGATGAGGAAGAAGATGCATGAAATGTACTATGCGTGAAATCACCATTGACTACTTTAGGAATATTTGAATTCGGTCGTCTAGATTCACATAACATATTAGCATTAACTACTATCCCAATGTCTGCTGGGTCTGATTTCGGATCCAAACCATTATGATGTTCCGTGGAATGATGATCTAACATCATCATCATCATGATTATTATTATTATTATTGTGTCCGATCGATTATGATTATTATATCCACAAAAATTGATGATTTGAATGAATTCTTTTTAAACACACACACACACACACTCTCCTGAGATTCGACAATGAGGAGGACCGGTGTCGCAGAGAACGAAAGCAGAATAAAAACACCTCTTGGATGACGCAAAATAATAAAAGTAAGAATTTTTACGCCCACAACAATAACTTTTTAATCAGGGATGATGATAAATGAACAGAGAGAATGATATGGTTATAATTCTCACAGGCCAAATTTGTTTGACTGTGTCCCACAATCACATGTACACATGTAACAGACACATATAGATAGCATTTTACATGCAAACACTAAATACACGGCCAATGCATACATACACACATACACACACATACAAATAGACAATCAGACAACAGCAAGATGATGATAGCACAACATGTACCTCAAAACTCTAAGTTTTGATTCGTTACCCAGATATTTTTTTTAAATATCTATCTCTGACCCACTCCCCTACAGCTCAGATGAAGAAAATCTACAACACCATTAAATATGCGTGTGATTTCATTGTTCATTTCATATTTGAACAACAACAACTCACATTTTGATTGGTTAAAAATGGATCTTAAATGTCATGGTAACGCCCATTGTTTTGATTGGTTAAATTGAGAAGAAAGAACATGTGTATGGCCAACATGATTGTTCGTTGGAAGATTCGCCATATTTGGAATTAACTCAAATGCTTTTATCCTAGTTCTTGCTTATTGATCGGATGGATGAAACACCATATTGAAAGACACAGTGACATGTATCTCTCCAGGTTACCAATCCATCAATCATTAATACTGTGTTGTTGATACAAGCAAAAGATTTTCACAAAACTTCATTCAGCATCTATTTCGAACATGATAAATGAACCATTCAATTGTACGACCGTTTATTTGTCTGGGAATTGAATAGTGGCACAATACATTGTGTTGAATGGTATGCAAAATATGCTTAATCCCCATGGCAATAAAGCAATCATTGTTGTTACACAATGAAGTATTCACAAACTCTCTGTACTTCAACTATCAGTTTGTTTTTTAATTGATAGAGGAGGATCCAGGATGCTTAAGCTATTAGTGTGTACGAAATAGTTAAAATTCAATCGAAAAGCACTTCGAATGTATGGCTGTGAAACATGATCAGAAAGAATAGAGGATATTCGTTTGTTGATAGTATTCGATTATATGTGACTTCGATGCATTGCTCGTACATCTTGTGATCATTGAGTAAGCAAATCTGGTGTTAGGAAAAGAGTATTATGTAAGGATAGCAGACCAGCTGATGAAGTAAATGTGGTTGGAACATATGTAACGTGTTTCCGACCGCCAATTACCTCGTCGAGCAATGATGTCTAGTGTAAGAGCAGGCTGGAAGAAAGCTAGGGGCGGTCAGACTATAACATATCACAAATCCATGAAGTCATTGACAAGAGAATTGAGCCATGTTATATGAGGTTAGCCTGCTTAATTCGGGTTCTCATCTTCTCCATTACCGCTAATATTATTGTAGTGCCTCCACAAATATTCCAGTTCTCTTACATCTAACTTGGTCAAGCCCTTTCGATTAATTTATTCAACCAAGCCATTTGTATAGCAACAATTTATTTGTACCATTCGTTCTTATTATTGTCTGGTTTGTATGAGCTCACATGACATGTCCCACTTGTCATTTGACCATGTCAATCATTCGTCGCTTTTATTCATGTGTGTGCACGCCTATTTCGCTTGTCATATGTCTGTCTTATTATTGTCTAACTATTTATTCTTAATCATGCTCTATCTCTTTGAGTTGGCTCTAAGCCCTCTCCAGTTCGCTTCGCCCATTCGTTCGCACTATAACCCATGGAGTTGGTCCATTAGCCTTCTCCAGTTCACGTCGCTTCATTCGTTTTATTCACTGCTTCTCCGCTTCGCTTTGTGGTGTGTCCCGAATAAACGTATTCATCACTTTGTGTTCATCTTCTGATTTATCAACCGTCAGACGCTATTTGGCAACGATTGTCTGAACGAGTTAATTACCGAGCTTAAGAACACGCAGTAATCACGTCACACAACAAACTGATGTGCATACGTGCGTACGTACGGTGATTCACGTTTTTGCCGACTGAGACATGACAAAAACATACATACATAGACACCAGTTATAGCTACATAATACTATACGAAAACAATGTAATACTTACTTAGTTACTTAGGTCTGTCATCCGCAGTGGAGCATAGGCCCCCGCCTCCTTAGTTTAATGTTAGTTTTTTTATGAATGCGGACGACAAGAAACGAACATAATAACATTCTAACCTAATGATTTATCATCTACACAGTCAATTTTTTGCTAGTAAATTAATTCACAAAAACATGTTTCAATGAAATTGCTTTAGGCGAAACATTCCTTTTTGTTGATTTTTTTTTCTTTCCTGACACTAAAGATTGAGCGGACAAAAAAAAAGAGAAGAACCATTTATTCCTATTTATTTTTGGTTAAAAAATAAAAAAAAACTAGGAAAAAATTGGTGTAGAAAAATATGAATTCGTTTTAGTTCGTTCGCTAGGCTCTCTCCTCATCAATTTATTTACAACACTAACATATTTTAAAATTAAAACGTTATCACACAGAAATTTGAGATCACTACTTGTATCATGGATCTAATGAAGTTTCGAATCAAATTATCAAGGTCAACTGACTATCAGCTGTCTCATCGATCGAGACGTCAATGGATGGAGGAACTTGTTACTTCAACGCCTGATTGAAGTGTATGTACTGGTGTACTAATAATAGGTTGAGCCCATATGGCTTGTTCTATCTAGCCTTTGGACAAACTAGCAGTGTTTTCTTCACACGTCAGTCTGTTCTCACATCTTCTGACCTTGTCAATGATTCGCTAATAACCTTGATTGTATTCACATGAGTACATGTGTTTGTGTGTGTGTGTGTGCAGTGCTTATTTCACTTGACATATCTGTCTAGCCTAATTAGTGTCTGACTATCAAAAACTTTAGTCATGTCTCATCACTTGAATTTGGCTCACTCGCCTTCATTTTGCTACGCTACACATTCTATTGTTTTGTCTGCTTACGCGAATGTGTGAACTAAACCGATTCGGACTTTGAATTACTGCCGTCGCATAAACCGGGTCATTTTAAGCATGATATAGGGGAAACTGAAGGGGGACGCTTATTATTTCATAGCACATTTAATTTTTCCTAAAGATTGTAATCACATTTTGTGCCACAAATGAAGCCTCATCTATCAACACATTCAAACGAATGTTGGGTCAATTTAGAAACACCAATATTGTCAGAACTAACACAGGCCACTCAACATCCTGTCCTTTAATCACTGAAACTTTCTTGAGAATATATGCTACAGATAAATCAAGTACAAGAGAGAATATTTCAAAACATTGAACTAGTGGTCACGATAGAAAGAGTTGATAACTTTTAAATAGTAGTTATGTAATAGAATAACCATGATCAGACTAATAATAATAACAATGATAAGTTGAAATCAATCAATGAGAATTAACATTATGAATTCACCGAAAAATGTAGACATGATGTAATCAAAACATGAGAAAGAGTTGAAATCAAGGATGATGTATGATATACAATGGATGTCATGTTACCAAGGTAAAACAAAATCGATTACAATTTATTTTGCAAAACACATCAATTTCGTTCCACACGTTTGATGCCTGTAACTTTAGCTAAATTTCAAAAGATCGAGATTCGAGATTTCTTATGAACCAATCACCTTGAACGACTTCATTGGGTCTATTTGATGTCTTGCATCGTAACCAGATGACTTAAGATAAATTTTCAGAGATGGGAAGTGATCATTATTTTTATTCTATATTCAAGATAATAAAGGGAACTAAGTCTATGGCAACAGAACTTGTAATTGTATATTTTTGGTTAAATTATGTATCGAATTGGTGCGGAGTGATAAGGAAATGTAAGTAGAGTTAGTCGTGTAGATAAAGAGGATGTTAGGGTGTGTAGGAAGAATTTGATTGTGACCGATTTGATCTCGTGTGCTGTTATGGGTTTGACGGCAAATGCCACTTCCTCCTGACTGCCCGCAAAGTGGGTTTTTCTTGAGGAACCTGCAAAGTGTTGGGGACTTTAGTTCCCTAGATCTCGTTTGATGAGCGCCTTGATTTTAGATTTCATTTTTGCGAGCATGGGCTGATCAGAGTTGATCTTGAGATTTGATTTCCCACCAGGAAACTCTGCGGCTATGATTGGCTGCTGTGTATTTTAGTGTGATATTTTTGTGACTGTCTCAATGACGTTTCTATGATGTATAAATAAACGAGAGTTATCTGCTTGATTGTATTGTGTTTGCTGGGTGTTTGTAGAATATACTTTCTACGCTTATCAAGACTTCTCTTTAGCCGTTTTTGGATCAATTTAGCCTATCTGGACGCTGGTTCATTGTCTCGTTCGCGTTTATCGACTAAGGTGAACCCGTAATAGCTTCAAGCATACCTAGTGACGAACATAACAAAAGGGAAGGTAGATTAGTGTTTGTCTTAGAGACCTGGGAGCTTGACTGCAGAGACCAAGGGACAACTAATTGAGGCCGGTTACGCACGTCTTTTTTATGAGGAGTTTTTAAAGTGTTGGCTCCGCTCTTTTTAAAAGGCCTTATTAAGCAGCTCTTACTACCGGAGACGGAAATCTGTAGGGCAAGGTGAGGTGTGACATTTTTTGTATCGACCTTTCCTAACCCTTCCATCCTTGTGAGAGGGCAGCATCTTTTCTGATGCTGGTTATCCGAGGTAAACACCTTACTGCTGTCACACCCCTCTGCAGTCAGCAGTACGACTTCGCCCTCATATCTTGAGTAGCTGCTTTTAGGCTGATCGCTCTCCAGTCGACCTGCCTGGCATGATAGAACCTTCAGTCAGTCAGTCAGTTGCAACATAGAACTTCGTACGTACGTACATCACAGTTCAGGTTGGTATACCACATTAGCACACAGAGATGCAATGGTCACTTCAAATCTCATAGTAGTAGAGGTAGTGAAAAGATTACCAGTAATCGAAGAGATTGGGGTTCGAGGATCTTATTCAAGAAGTAGAATCTAGTGAAATAAACTTAAAAGGGAAAACGAAAAAGGCGATGAGGAATTCAGAAGGTTAAGATTTGAGAGAACTATTTCTACAGATATTTTCGTGTATTTTGGCTCTTATTGCTTGTTCCGTGATAGCTGGTTATACTACAGAGCAGTTCTTTGCTGATAGTTTC